GGTCCCCCGGCTCGTGTGTGGGGGGATGCCCGAGCCGCGGTGTCCTCCCGAGGCTATCGCCGCTCTGCTCTAGCTGGTGCGCCAGCGGGCACTTGGGGTGCGGGGGATCGACCTTGTCCTTCTCTCCCCACTCAGCAAAGCACCTTGAGACGGTCCCCTTCGTCAGAGAGCTTCTTGGGCTCCGAGAGCAGCTACTTGTCCTCCCTGTCCACAGCTCCCTCCCGAGATGGCTCCGACCAGCCGGCTGAGGCTAGTGGTGACACTGGTGGGGACAGGGGGGTGGGGGTGACAGGTGGACTGTCCCTATGGGGATGGCTGTGCCCTGGGGCTCCTGGCCGGGAGGTGGTCCCATCAGGGAGCTGGCTGCTGGTGCCCAGCACTGGCTGCTGTGCCGAAGCCTGTCTCCATGCCCAGGGGCCGGAGGAGCGCTGGCAGCCGGTGCCAGAGGGGCCACAGCCCGGTGGTGAGGCGCTGCTGAACGGTGGGATGGGCCAGGAGCCTTTCGAGAAGGCATACTTTCTCCTCCTGGGGCAGCTCAATGCTGCCAATGAAGAGCTGGCCCGGACCCGAGATGAGCTGCGGCGGTCCAAGGCCGCTGTGGAGCCGGAGGAGAGGAAACCATTGGACTTCCTCAAGCGCAGGGTGAGCCCCTGCGCCGCGGCCGTGAGCGCGGCCAGAGCCAGGCCCGCAGGGCTGGCCTCACCCTGCGCTCCTCTCCCTGCAGAACATAGCTGAGATGCTGGGGCTGGGCAGGAGCCCCGAGAAGGTTGCAGCGGATGATGACTTGAAGCACGCGTATGATGCGGTGCAGGTCGCCAATAGGTGCGTGAGGCGGGTTTCCCCACAACGGGCTGCTGGATCCGTGCTGCTGCTGGGGCTTTGCCCCGTGTTTTAGCCAGCCACGGGCTGGGTTGCAGCTGCCCAGCACCACAGCGGGAGAGACCTCTCGGGAGCCCTCATCGCGCTCTGCGGCTACCTGAAAGGGGGTTGTGGTGAGGTGTGTGTTGGTCTCTTGTCCCAAGTAACAAGCAACAGGACAAGAGGAAACGGCCTCAAGTTGCACCTGGGGAGATTAATACTGGATATTAGGAAAAATTTCTTCACCAAAAGGGTTGTCAAGCGCTGGAACAGGCTGCCCAGGGAAGTGGATGAGTCACCAGCCCTGGAGGCACTTAGAAAACTGTAGATGCGGTGTTTAGGGACATGGCTTAATGGTGGACATGGCAGTGCTGGGTTAACGGTTGGACTCGATCTTGAAAGTCTTTTCCAACCTAAATGATTCCATAAGTAGCCACCCCCTCACATGCTGTTGGCACCACGGCCCCAGCTGGGCTGGGAGAGCAAGGGCAGCCTGTCCCTCGCCGCGCAGCTGGCTGGGGTAGCCCCGGCTCTCCTTCCCTTCGCTCTAGCGGGCCCGGAGCACCCACCTTGCTCTGAGCACCCACCACACGAGCAGACTGGGTGCCCTGCGCTCAACAGGAGCCTCCTAAGAGGGCAGGGCTGGTGCCCTGGTCCTGGGCTGTGTGTGCTCGAGGCTCAGTGCGGCGGGAGTGGAGATGCTCTGTTGGCACGCCTGGGTCCGTGCTCTCCCCAGGGTGCCGGGGCAGGGGGAGAGCTCCCAGCTCTGAGGCTTCAGAGGAGAAATACTCCTCAGCAGCCGCCCCAAGGGATGGGGTGTGGCAGCTGAAGGAGGCTGGTGCCTCAGTTTCCCCGGGTGCCTGTGTGCAGGCTGCTGGCAAGTCAGCTGCGGGAGGAGAAGCAGCAGCACGAGGAGGAGGTAGAAGGGCTGCACCTCGACATCTGCTCGCTCAAGCAGCTGAGCCAGCAGCAGGCAGCGCTCATCCAGGACCTGCAGCAGCACCAGGGGCAGGAGGGGCTGCAGCACCACATCCTGCGGCTCAAGGAGGAGAACTGGGTAAGGGGTGTGAGGGTGGGCAGGACCGGGTTTGGGGCTGGCTTACACCCCCTTGCCCTGTGGTGAGCTGCAGCAGCCCCTTAGGGAGCAATGTGGGGGACCCTGCTGCATCCCCCCAGCTCTGCCCACCTTGGTGGGTGCTGGTGGGTGTGTTCAGCTGAGCTCTACCAGGTCTGTTCCTGCCCAGGAGCTGGCCCAGAAGCTGGAGAAGCAGGAGAGGACCACACTGAAGCTCCAGAAGCAGCTGAGAGCCTATGCAAAGCAGATCCAGGAGCTTTCAGGTAAGTGCCTGTATGGGGGAGAGGCATGGGGATGGCTGGAGGGTCACCCAGCCTCAACACAGGGAGCAGAGTCATGTTGTCATGTCATCCTGTCCCGTCCCCCCCCAAACAGATGCTGGGGAGCATCTGCTTGGACTGAGCCGAGGGGACCAGATCTGGGTCCCACAGCCCAGGACACAGCAGGATGTGACCTGTGATCCTCTCCCCCAGTGAAGAGAGAGGCTGTCAGGCCAGTGCATGAGTTGGCAGCGTCCGCTGTCATCCTGTCCCGGTCCACCACGGTCCCGTCCCCGGCTGGGCTGTCCCAGGCCATGCTAGCATGGAGGATGGAGGACAAAGGGCGCATTATCAAGGCCATCATCACAGGTAGGGTTTGGGGAGATGGTGACTCCTTACCCCAGCTTGGTCCTTGATAGGGTTTCTTGGCAGCCTCTGTGTGAGCTCATCCTTTCAGTGATGCTGGGGCAGCATCCTGCCTGGCTCAGGACCAGCTTTCCACAGCTGCCTGGATCCCAACTGTCCTGCTTTCCCCTGCAGACTACAAACCACAGAGCAGCCCTGGGGCGCTCCCAGAGCTGCCAGCCTACGTCCTCTTCCTGTGCTTCCGGCACGCAGACCACTGCTGCGACGAGCCGCGGGCCCGCTCGCTCCTGGATGCAGCCGTCGATGCCATCAAACGGGTCATGAAGGTGCTGGGCTTGGGGGTGCGGGTTGGGCTGAGGTGCAGGAGCTTCCCTGGCCAAGGCGAGCGTGGCCCTGGGGCACCTGCGTGTGCCTCACTGCAGCATCCAGCCTGAGCCCCTCCTGGGATGAGGGGTGCCCTTGGGTGCTGCAGGGCTCCTGTGAGAGGGTCCGACAGCTCTGCACCCCCACAGCCGTCAACATGGAGCTACCGCGGGGCACAAGGGCTTGCTGCTGTGGCGGCCGGAGCTGACCCCAGTGTGCTCTGCTCCCTCCTGCAGAAGCACGGTGATGACTTCGACGTGGTGGCACTCTGGCTTGCCAACACCTGCCGGCTCCTGAACTGCCTGCGCCAGTACGGCCAGGATGAGGTAGGGCTGGGCTGCAGGGGTAGGGTGGGAGCTGACTGGGCACAGGGCTTGTCCCCACCTGCCGCTGCATCCTCCTTGCCCCCGACCCAAGTAGGCAGGGCTGTGCTGGGCTGACACTGCTCCGTGCTTACTGGGGGACGCAGCTGCGTCCCCTGGTACTGCTGGCTCTGACCCAGCCTGTGCCCGCAGAGCTACTGGCACGGCAACACGGCACGGCAGAATGAGCATCGCCTGCAGAACGTGGACCCCCAGAGCTCCTGCCACAGCCTGGGTGCCCTGGCTGTCCAGCTCTACCAGCAGCTCATCCGCACCGCCGAGAAGTGCCTCAAACCCATGATTGGTACGGCCTGGCTTGGGGGGGCTGCGGGGGGCTCGCGGGGCGCTGGTTCCGGG